TCAAAGGCACGAAGTTCATGTTTTATATGGAACCTTTGGTTTTAGAAGGTTTGGTTGAAACTCCCGCGTAGGCCTGGCGTAGGCCTGGCGTAAGCAAGGCGTAGGCGTGACTGCCGTTTCTAGACCCCTAGCCCACAGGGATGTGTTAGCTTTTCTTTTTAGAAGCTGGTAGGGCATAGTTTTGTACTAGTCTTTCGTCCCCGCTTCGCGGTCCACGCTATGGCGCAAACATGGAAAGACTACACGGCTCCCTACAGGTCTAGGGTAACGCGAGGCCTGGCTGATTCCATCATGAGCAAGTCCAGCGACGTGCATGAGGTTGTCTCCATCCTGTCTGCTGTCATCAAGGTCATTGATCGAGAAACTTCGCTCTCCACCCAAGACATCGTTTCAGGTCTACAGGCTAAGGTGGCATCTCCTGATAGCATCGCAGAGGAGCAGGCCAAGAAACTCCTGGACAACTTGGGGCGTCTGCGGGAAACAGCTGGCTCTCACCACATGGCAGTCAGACGCATTTACAACGTCTTTCTGCCAATGATTTGGATTTCGCTGTAGTGCGCAGTGGTTTGAACCTGCAGGTGCTCCAACAGAGTGGGTACAAGATAGCCAAAACTCTCTTCAACAAGGTTCAGCAGCTCCAAGGAGTTATCAGTGGGAGTGATGTAAAGCATGTTGGCCGCAAATCCAAAGTAAACAATGACAAGGTCATCGCTGCCGTACAACGCATTGTGGAGAAATATGCCAATGATTCCAGTAAAGTGGTTGTAGTCCGTAAAAATGGCCTCAAGCAGCTGGTATGCGCCCGGCTCCTGAGCAAGAAGTTGGGTCGCATCTGGAAAGAGGAGCCGGAGCTTCGTAAGGAGGTGGGTATCACAGCCTTGCGCACCATCATGCGGGTGCATCTGCCTTCGTACCGCAAGCCTGGACGAAAGACAGACGTTTGCGGACACTGTCGTGTGTACAAGCGGCATATCATCCCTCGAGCCCAGAAAGAATACCAGAAGCGCAGGGCACAGTTGACAAGCATCGCGCCCAACTACTTTGAATCCTTCGACTCAGACAAGCAGGTCGTGCAACTGCAGGAGTCCGCTCAAACCAGTGAGGTCATTACGCGGGCTTACCGGTACATTGGTGCCAGGAACGCCAAGAGTGAGAACGATCCTGATCGCCAGGGATTGTCCCGCACTTCCCGGTTAGAGTTGCACCAAACTGAAGCCAGAGCCTGTCACAAGCTCAAAGGACACATAGAGCTCTTGGAGGCATACTCCTGGCACAAATTATCAGCAGACAGACAACGAGAATTTTCCACAGCCTTGCTGGACAAACTTCCTAACACAGAGGCCTATATGCACTTCGACTTCAAGGAGAACGTGCGGTACCCCATGGCCAAAGAAGAGACAGGGCAAGAGTTCCACGCCCAAAACAAGTTGTCTCTCACTGTGTTTGGATGCACTGTTCACAGTCCAGGGCGCAAGAATTTCAACTTCTTGCTTGTATCTGAAGTGCTGGACCACGACAGTCAGATGGCCCGGCTCCTTCTCTCCAGAGTTCTTGCGGTCGTGCAAGGCAAGCCGGAGTACCAGTGGTCCAAGGTACAGCGTCTGCATTTAGTATGTGACTGTGGCCCCCCACTTCCGCAGCCGGGAGTCGTATGCCTTCTACTTGCATGATTTACCTAAAGAGCTTCAAGTGCCTGCACGTCGGTCGCATTTAGCTACGAAAAAGTACATTTTCTTACTTTACCTTTGCGCTTGCTAGTGAACCTCTGTTGTCGCTAATGTACTTCATCGGAGTCTATCTCAGGTAACAGTGCATTTCCAAGGGGAGCAGCGCGGCAAGGGGCCGGTAGACCGACTCTTTGGATGGGGGGTGCTTGGATAGAGGATTTCTCGCAGAAGCAACCCATTCATGGTCTTCGCGATTTGGTGCAATGCTACCGTTCAGGGGCCCAATATATGGTGAACTCCGACCCTACAGGGCCAAAATTCCATATTGAAGCCTTTGACCCTGGAGAGCTTCGACCTGAGACTCGTACCTTTTTCCAATGCCCCGGCTTCTTGACTGTTTGCACACTGATTTCGTCCCAGGATACGCTCATGGCATCCGCTTAAAGAACAAACTGTTCAGCGACTCTGAGGGGGGCTGTGCTCCATGGCTGGTTTATAGGGACTAGAAACCAAGCAGCGCCTGCAGATGAAGAGCCGGACATTGCCGACAACAATGCAGATGGAGACGACTCGGCACCAGATCCCAAGAAATGGCGTCGTGGCTTCTGGAACTCTGAGAAGACATGGGAAGAGGTTCTGGCCCAAAGCCCGGCCAAATCAATGAAATTGTAAGGCGGCATGGATCCCAGAAGTCTGCCCCGCCTCCTGTATTGCGGCCTTTCCGCTCAGAAGTTGAGAAGGCTTTGTCTGCTGCCGCTCTCCGGCTGCGTAATGCTGCCGCCAAAAAGCGTCGCCAGACAGCTTGCCTAAGGCAGGCTGCTAGCGATAGCTCCAGTAGTTCCGACGCGTCTAATTCCTCTGACTCTGACTCATCTGCATCTTGAAAAGTCCCGCAGGTTATCTGAAACCCAATGGCAGCGTAGGCGCGCAGAACGTTGTAAGCAAAAACCCCACGCGCGTAGCCTCGGCGCAGGCAACTTTGTTTTCCCCTTGTCCAGCGTAGGCTCCCATTGTGGTGGCGTAGGCCATAGTAGGGTCATGGCGTAGGCAACTACAAATGATAACACCTCACATAATAAAAAGAAACCCTGCTCACTTGGGGTTGTTTCCAACGACAGCGCGCGGTGTGGGTCAACGCGTTTCAACAACATCTGGATTCTTCTCATAGTCAATCACAGCTGCACGGCTTCGCAGTGAAGCGATGCTCAAGAGAATGGGCTGATTGGGGATGTCATGTACATGCACCTTCATGGTACTCATTCCTCCATGCAGCGGAACTGGCAGCTGGGCGGTGGACAGGCAGACTGTCCGGCCGTTGTTCCCAAATCGAAAGCTCGGCCGTTCCGAGGGATCAACATGGATGTCACGGCTCCTCCCTTGTTCCGCATTGATGTCGTTGATGTGGGTCAAAGCATCCACACTGCCCACTGTAGAAGTGGCTCCAGGACTCCAGGATCGATGATAGCTTTGCCTGCCTCCAGAAGCGAACCCATCGCTAAGTTGGCAGACTCTTCAAAATCTCCTGATGTGTCTTGTGATGGTGTAGCCATTGACTCCATTGTATCACCTGAAGCGGTGGCAGTGAAGGTGAAATGCACTGCTTGTCGACTGCCTTGTTGTTCTTCACGTTTGGGACAGGCGTCTGTCCGGTGGGTACCTCCGCATCGGTCCGATCTGAGGTCACTTTCTGATTTCCATTTGACAGTGCTCTCCCGCTTCATGGGGTAGAATTGTCGGCTCTTTCGCATCATGGATTGTTTCTCCCGAGCGTCACGGAGTGTCCTCCGGGCACCTTGTATGGCGGCCAGTGCTGCTTCTGATTCACGAGTGAGGTAGTTGTACTCTTCAATCTCCTCTTCGGTCATCCATGTTGGCGCTGGCGGTGGCATACCTTCATGCAGGAAGGCGTCATCTTCTTCATAATCTTCGGCGATGAGGGCTGAACCGCGGGTCTGATCCCGCTTCCTGAGGTCCTCTTCAGTCCAGTTCAGCTTGAGCGCTTCCTTCACTTTCTCAGTAGTGAAGCGATTCTTCAAGCTGGCGATGATGGTGGCGCGTTCAGAGCCATCAAGACCTGAACGCTGCAGCAGCATCCACGCCACGACGAAGTCTGGTAAGAACTTTTCGGCTTCCACCGATGCGTGATCTGATACATCGGCTTGGTAGATGTTCTCACTTGTCATTTAGTGTGAATTGCCTTTCTCCCATGACCTCTGGTCATTCCAGTGTGATAGCTGTTGTAGGATTAATCCCACCAACCATCATAGGACCACCATTGAGGGCGATGCCACTGTGGGTCTTCTTGTTGGGCTTCTTCGGTGGTGTCACCTTGCTCGGCCTCAGGCCGTACTGGATTGGATTCTCGTGGACTGTGGAACCCTGGTTCATCTTCTTCTTGATGAAGCTAGGCGGCAGCTGCACTTTGGTGTGACCTGGTGCGACTCTCTGATGACCTAAAAGCTGATGGCCTTCGGCTTGTGAATATCCCTTTCCATATTCTTCGATGGCCTCTGCTAGTGTCCTTCAAGCTTCGTAGAGAGCTTCATCGACAATCCAGGCGTTCATTGGCGTTCATACACTCCCCTTTTCGTCTCTTCACCTGGTAGAAGAACTTGGAGATCGTCTTGCCTGCTTCTGCTAAGGTCGGAGCTTGTACTCGTGTTCGTAGGAAAGCCAGCAACTCGTGAGCGCCCCACTCATGAGATATCCACCCCGGTGATTTGTGCTGGACTGCGGTCTTGGCAACTCCTTCCAAGACTGATTGAAGTCTTGGACCTGCAAGCGGTCTCTTCTTCCATTCCAGTGTCTCCACGTAGTTCAGCGCAGCTCTTTTGTATGGTATGTATAGGTCGGACGACCCGTCGAAGATGGGCACCCCATCTTTGCTGTACCTAAGTTCAGCCATGCTTGTCACCAGCGACTATGGATCTCCTCCAAAACGATGTCCCTGGATCTTCGCCCGGCTCCCCTCTTTCCAGAAGGAGCCGGGCTCCGCTACCATGCGAAGCACACGGGCGCAAGTACCCCTCGGAAGGAATTGTTTCTGTCCTTGCTAGGTGGGGCGCTTGAGTCGAGACGAGATCACCGAAAACGAGTGAGTTCGCGACCCATGAATGCAAATTCTGCATGTATATATATATATGTGAATATAATGCGGATACATATACAGTATATATGCATACGGCAATAGTAGGCACTTGCTAGCATGTGCGGTGCATTTCAGGTTCTGTTTTGCGTTTATTGTTCTTGTCATGCGTCATGCGTGATGTATTTTTTTTCGTCCTTGCGCAAGAGTTGCAACCACTGTGCAACTCAATTCAGCCAGCTCTGCAGGTCTGGGGAGGACTCACAGTCGCTCTGGCATCATTGCATCAGGGATCAAGTTTTGTTTGCCCTTTGGCGAACAAGAATGTCCGTGCAACACTTGGTGTAGGTCTTGGACATCACTCACCTTTAGTTTAGATTGTCACTGTTTCTTTTTCTAAGGCCCCGGGGGGTACTACTAAGCTTCAGTAGCTACTAGCTATTTTGCGCGCTGAAGGGTTCAAGCTTAATGATTTGGCACCTAGTGCCTGTTTTTTTTGGAACACCGAAACAGTATGGTCACATTATTTGTAGGAGTATGGTTTTGTAAGTACACTGAACCACTGAGTGTTGTTCATTGTGACAGTATGACGGTTGCAGAAAGCACCCACTTGATAGACATGATCAGGCATTTCCATGTCACCAAGGTAGAAATTTCACGTCTTGGCAGTTGTTCAGTCTGGACAAAACAAGTCAGAAGTGCATAATATCGCTAAAAACCCTGTTCAAGGGCTCAATCAAGGCAGACATTGATTTAGGTTCTGGCAGGTGAGACAGGTATGAGGCCTATATAGTTGCATGCCCAGGTTAGTGGATACTGGAGAGTATTTTGCGCAGCAATCTTGGCAAAAACTCCGTGAATGAATCCTCAACTACGCATAGCCCAGCAGTGGCTAGTTTTGATTGATGGTGCTGTTGGCAGGCTGGAGTTGGATCCACAACCGGACCGTGTGACTATGAAGAAGCGCAGTTGGAATTCTCAGGAGCGGGGTGTTTGGTGGTTGGCCAAACCTTGCCCAAAATGATCCAAAATGGTAGTCTTTGCAGGCGCAAAGCAGGGCGTTTCCATACGGTCCAATACGGTTCTGCTTATGTCACGTCATGTTAGTGCAACTTGAGGAAAGAAGTTTGCGGGAACCCTGTGCGAATCCAGGCTCTGCTTGAATGGTACCAGTTAGTACCCAGTTCTTATATGTTGTTTTTCTTTCGAGTCCAATGTCCAAGTGGCTAACAGCAGATGCAGGGATCGCTGTCTGATTTGAAGTCGAGGCCAGACCTTAGCTTAAATATGCTCAAACCAAAGTGATGGGGTCACAAGGGTTGTTGTTTTCTTCCTTTTGTTTATGTATAAGACGCGCAGATACACATTCTTACTTGTATGTGGGCCAGAAGCAGTTGCCATCTGGGCCGTGCTGCGACCGCAGAATGACAGTAAAAAACAATGCAAGAAACAATGCGCTCTTCATTGGACCCAGCCTGGGATGGTGTGCCTCTGATTTCAATGCAAAGCTTCACGTGACCATCACACCCTTACGCTCAGGCATTTTCTCGCTTCAGGGCGCAGGGATGGTGATCTCCTGCATGCTTTTTTGGACTGTGGCCACACACAGAGAGTGGATGAACCAGAAGCTGCAGTACGATGTAGTAGATGGGAAGTCCACTTCAACAAGCTGAATCTCTGAAGCGTTCGCTTATCGGCGGATCATTTGCATCACATTGACATGCCGAATCCTCAACAGACAGGAACTGGGTTTGTATTTTTAACATGTGCCCGGGGTGCCCGGTATATGTAGTGTTGAGGTGTCATGTTCGACTTAGGCCAAGCATACCCCCTCTGAAAATGCTACTACTTTAGTCTACGCACCGCACGAGGCGTACTCCGAAATACTCCATAGTCAAACATCCCTGCCCGGGAACGTCAAGACATACACTCCCCATATGATTGGTGAAGGTCTAAATCCTTCCAATTATTAGTCACCGAAACGTCTTACGCGCGGAAGAGGGTCAGACTATGTACAATCAGCCCGTTCAAGAGTTCGATGCATCCTTGGGATTCAGCAAAGTGGCCAGGGGATCTTCAAGATGACCTCGCTTTTGTCGGGGAGCCGAGTCAGACAACATTTTCTCTGCTCAAGCAAAAAACACAAACACTTTCTTGGGAAGCTCGACAATACCGCTTGGGAACGGGGAGAAGGGTTATTCAACAAGGTTGCTTATGTTGACTTTTCAACAAGCGGCTAGCGGCTAACACGCATCGTCGCAGCCAAAATGTCTCAATCGTAACACTAGTACTGGGAGTGATCAAGGCTATATATATATATATATTAATAACTATATATATAAGATATCTTTAGAGTTGAGAGCCTTCATGGCTCCGTCAGACTCCCACCATGACACGCCAAAAACCATGGCACTGGTCCCAAAGGACTTGCCACTACCCTTGGGCCAGGAGATCAAGCCACAACTCCAATGACAGATACGAGGAGAAGCCCAAAAGTCGGAAGCCCAGTGCTCCTATCGTTTTTTGGGGTTTGAACTTTGAGCATTTTGAGCCCCAGAGATCTCTGTCCGTCAGACTATCAGATGAAAATTCGAAGGTTTCAAAGTACGAAGCTTTGTGATAGCAGATTCCAAAGCTAGGACCAGGAACTTCATCATTTGTCTAGTTCTAGTTTGTATTGCGCAAGATGTTGCCTCGACGGTGGGCTGACTTGCTCGACATACCTTCTCCCATAAGAGAATCGAGAAGTGGGTAAGGTCAGTTTCTCAAAGTTTGTAGCCTTCGAGGTGGTACCTTTCCACCAAACCTTCTTTCCTCTTGTGACAGACAGGTTGTCCCAAATGCAGCATTCTTTTCCAAGAGCTTTGCAATGGAAACACAGCCCCCTGGAACCAAGATGAAAATTAATTTGGAACAAGACTAAACAACACCGTTGCTCAGATTACAGTAGAGAGCTTCTAACCGTGCGTGCAAGGTCCCGGCAAAGGCCTTTTTGAAACTGTTCTCTACATCATCGTAGCAGGAGCTAGATAAAACAAAACTAACCTTGTTTTGCCCGCAAGATGCTTGGCACCTGCTGTTCTAGCTCACGAATTGTGATACGTTTCACGAAATGGTCTTTGTAGCTGTTGGAGAGATCTTCCTTATGCCGTAAAGCATTGTAAAGCATATAACATAACAATACATAACATATATATTAAATATATACACAGTAGTTCCGGATCTATGTTTGAGCTCAGCTCACCTTTCTAGGCTCTCGAGACGAAGAGGAGCCTGAGGCAGGGCATGGGCGGCATGGTGGGCATGGTGGGCGGCTGGGCCACATGTTTTAGACCATCTGGACCAAGGCCTTACACTCTTCATCTTACCGAATCTAACCCAGGAGGTTTCTCCAAAACAGGGACGCCCAAGTTGTTTGCAGTTCTTGAGGCATTGAAGGCTTGAGAGCTGAACATGGTTTCGTCAGAAGCATGGAACGGCCTTGTTCCTTTTCCAGAGAGGCTGTGAGTGTCGGACGTTGACCGAGGCCGATCCAGAGAGTCCACCATCAGAGGCGCCATGTGGAACGACACAGATAATCGGAGGATAATCTTGAAAGGATCTTCGTGTTTGGACTCCTGATACGAGGAGCAAAGGACGCTACTAGGAGCAAAGGGCATCGCTACTAGGAGAGCAAGGACGCTACTAGGGGCTCCTGGCCTTACTACTAGGAACAAGAAGCTACTAGTAACAAAGGACAGATCCCTAAGATTCAAGAGCACTTTGTAGCCATTCAGGTGGAACTCTGGAAGTCTTCTCATCTCGTTTTTTGTTGATCAATTGACGCTTAGTGAGTCTTAATGGAGGAGTAATAGAAGTGCATGTACTGATGTACTGCTCAATGCCACTCAATTGAACAGTTTGTATTCATGCATAGCTTAATTCTGATGCAAGATGAGTTGTTCCTGAGTGTCCAATGTGCAGCAGAGGTCCATCATTTCCCCTAGACCCCTGGGGTCCGTCCCGGCACCGTTTTTGCACACGGGGGGATGCTTTTGTGGGCAAAAAGGCTAGACTGTGACTAGTGTTACTCGTACCAATTACTTTTATCCATTTTATATATTAGATGACCAAGGATGGCACAGTCGCTTGTTGGGTCCCTTTGGGGTCTATTCATGGCCCTCTACAGTTCATTGGTCACCAACTCAGAATAAGTTGGGTGACCTATTCTCCCCGCATATAAAGGAGAATATCAAGAGTCTCCGTGGATGAGGTTCTTGCTTGTTGCTTTGTGTCAGATTCCTTTTGCCGCATACCCTTTGGCACGGCATTTTCCGCTACGCTCCCTCTTAGGTGGTGCCGAGTCTCAGCAGGGGCTTGCAGCACTTGTGATGCCATAGCACAGTAGAGACCATCTCAAAGCGTAGATGGCCAGATCAGCTGCCACTGCAGAGCCATTGGTGTTTACTGTCGTCGAATCATTGAACATTGCTGCTGAAAATGTTGCGGTCGGGTTTGTTGGGGTTGCGACTTGCGACATCACCAAGTCTTCTTCAGGTAATGTGTCAATTGGCACAATCTATATAATTGATTAAGCATATGTACAAATTACATACGCAAAACAGAACAATTATGTGAAGGTATCCTCTTTGGACTCAGCAGCAGCTACCAATCACCAACACGGGCTGCAGGTTGGCTTCGAATCAGTTTCACCCACCTGGCACGAGGCCAGGAGGCCTTTTGCACCTGAAGGTGGCGCGCACCAGACGTGCGATGAGACATTTTGCTTCGTATTTTCTTTAGTTCCTGCCCAGACAAAGGCTCTAACTTTGCTGGGAGTGGACAAGTTTCTCTGGTATTTTGCAGCAGCATGTTGCAATAACATGTCGTAATGCTCCGCCTCCTTTGCCTCTCACTGAAGCACAAGGTTTAAGCGCCGCCGTGCTGCTGCGCCCGTACTATGCACCAGAGTCAGAGATGGGAGAAAATATGTTCGATTGCAAGAGGAAGGGATGGAGGGAGGGCAGGAGGGACGGGGAGAGAAAGAGGGAGAGAGAGAGTGACATGTCCAGGGTCCATAGCAACGTGAGTTCTGTTAGGAAATATAACATAGTTTGTTTTGTATATATTTATTGCAGTAAGACATGGTTGCGGTGTGTTTGTGAAGCGAGGGGACAAAAGAACAGCCAGACAGGGCAACACCGATTCGCAAAAACTGCTCTAAGCTTGGCAACAGGCCAACAAGTTGCTAGCACAGCCCACTTCAGAAGAAAGACCGCCAGTTGCGCTGGTCCTTGGACACGCTCTGATTTGATCTTCCTGCAAGTCTGCATACTTTTGCAGTTACTAGGCGTATTCAAGCATTCAATTACTTCCTTGCCAATCCGAGAGGGTGAGTGTGCCTGCAGTGCTCCGTGATGCGGTGGCCAATAGCTCCAGTGTGGTCCGAACCTGGTTCGTTTGCTACTCCTAAACTGTGGTGGTCCACTGAGCTTCCTCCTTTCTATCGCTGCACTGTCAGTGTCAGACTTGCCGACCCTCCCCATGGCAGTTCGACAGCGCGAAGCAAGATTGAAAGGGCTGCTTGTGATTTACAGAATTGGGAGAAGCGTGTTTTTGAGCACTACTACTTGTCCAGATCTCGCGACTTTGCCTCCTTTGTGCGTGCATGTGCGTGTGGGTGTTTGTGTGTTCGTGTAGGAGATGAAGCAATCCAACGTAGTTGCTTCAGAAGACATTTCCGCCTCCTTGCGGAAGCCTACTTCCTGCACCACCAGATTCCCTTTCTTTTCATTGCAACAAAACGAGCAGCGAACTGAACTGCCTGCATTCTTCTGCCATTTTCACCCTGTGAGTTTCTTGTGTGCACGGCTGGGTTCTGGCCTTTTGGGAATTCACGGCGATTTCTCGAAGCGTCAAGGTATACTATTCTGATCGACTCAGCCTTTTAGACATAAAATCACACTCATTGCATGTTTCCTTAAGTTCTTCCTAGAACTTCAAGCGGCCCATAAAGGTGGGCAATTGAGTGCTAGTAGGTTGGAGGCCATCGCTATTAGGTCGGAGGCCATCGCTAGTAACTAGTAGGTTGGAGGCCATCGCTCTTGGAGTCGCAGGTGACCTTTTTAAGTTGAGGTGGAGAATGACTCAGTCAAGCTTGCTTGCTTGACAACGTCTCTCAACATTCAACGGGAAAAGCACTGTAATTACCAAAGGACAACTCATGCCAACAGAGGTGCAAGAAAATAACGATTGTATTCAAAGTGCATTGGACGTTTCACATGCCCTAAACATGAGCTTATTCGGCACACATATCGCCCGCTTGTGTGGCCAGCGCGGCCTTTCGCTGTGGATGCCCGGCACAATTCGATTGGCTTTTGGCACGGTCGCCGCCATGCGCGACATGGTGCACCCTGCGCTTTGCCATGCTGAAAGGGGGTGCCATCAACCTTCTTACGCGGGACTGTAGGGCCTTCAACTGCAGGTTTGCTGACAGATTCTGGCCACAGCCTGTTCGAAAAGACACCTGCGGCTCCTAAGCAAGTTGCCTAAGTCAAAGGCGCATTGGTGCGAATGGTGTTGGGGGCACGCTCGGGCAGAGGCGGAAGGTGGAAGGCGCCGGCGCAGGTGTCGGAGCAAAAGGCCTCGGTACAGGCTTTGCTTTTTTGCACTTGTGCTGACATGCGGTCATGGAACATGTTGCAAAATCGGCAGCAGCTGCGTGACGTGAGTAGGCACAGCGGCGCAGCGACGAAACTCCTTGACAACGCCCACCCACCCGACGGCCTCAGAGTCGCCAAGTTCCTACAGTGCTACAGCCCCTCGCATCCACTCTCCTTTGCTTTGTGCCAGCACCGCTTCTCGCCGCTTCGCCCTGCGTCACTGGTTTGCCTTGCTTGTTTTTGAAACACATGAAAAAAATGCGAGTAGGGAGACGATTGAGCAGGAACCACACCGCGGTGCATCAAAGAGGAGGGACCCCAACGTGTTCGGTCACCGAAAAAGGAAAGGGACACGAAGAACGTGCGAGGGGAGAGGTGCACCATGTGTAGAACGATCGTGTGATTCCCAACCTAGCTAGCTAGATCATGCTAGATCTAGCTAGCCTAAATTGCTACCCCCGGGGGCGCTCTCTCTCTCTCTCTACCTTTCTTGCGTTTCATGCCGCCAAATGTGCAACAGTTACTCGGATGGCAGCTTTCCAGGCGACCATGACGATTCACCATGGGAGAAGCACCAAGTCAATGCCGCTGCGTTTGTTGGTGGTCGCCACCCAAGTTGCTTTGTTCATGGTGACATACGTTGTCGCCTGTTGCTTGGTCTTCCTTTTGTCAGACCTGATGTGACAAATCCACTCTCTTGAGATGTAGAAGTCGATAATGGACGGCTTTGACCTCAGTTTGCCCGAAGTCTTCGTGTCAGTTCTCTGTAGGGCTCTTCTGAAAAACGAAATCGTTGCTGTTGAACTCTCAGCGCATAGGTCAAGTAGACAATGAACATCTGTCAAAACCATCACCAGGTTCCTGATCGTGATGCAGTCGTCGTTTGTGTGCTGCTAGCTGCTAGCTAGGATCACGCTCAAAATCTTCTGGATCGTTTTCTGTATCACCTCTGTTTGGATGGTTTCAATGGTTTCAAGCTCTTTTCCTTTCTGGTGCCCCATGGAAATTAAACTGATCAATTTTTTCGTCTCTCCTGTGAAAGCTTCTTGGTGTTGAGATCTGCTGGGTTGATCGCTGTTGGAAGTCTCAAAAGTCTGACCAGTAGTACGTAGCGTCTTGTTACTAGTAGTAAGGTGCCTTGCTACCAATAGTTTCTAGCTACTAGTCGTAGTGCCAGGAGCTACTAGTAGCTTCTTGTTACTATTCTCTCACTAAATCTTGAATCCACAAATTGCGAATGTGGATGCGTATACTGTTTCAGTTTTCCTTATTGTTTTGCTCCCTACATGATTCCTCGCGCTGCTGAGCTGTCGCTAGGCGCTGCCTTGGGCACTTCTTCCCGAACTAGGCTTCCAACATGCAGCATCTCTGCTATGCCACTGCGGCTCGCATAAAGCTCTCATTCTGCACTTGACAAGGCTATCGAAGATTGCAACTTGCATGATGAAACAAGTAGGCTGCTGTTCAGGAGAACCATGCAGGATGCCGTTGACGTCCGGATCACTTTACATCCTGCCCAATTGGATCCAATTGGCATCTGTGCAAATTTGAAGGTTATAGTTATATGATATATTTTCAATGTTTTCAATTTTTCTTTGTTGTTCGATTCTGGAAGATCCCAATGATCACTTGTGGTGTATGCCAACTTTGTTCCTCCGGCCATGTAGGTTGATAAAGTCTTCAATTATTGTTGGATAATTGATATTTGGCCTGTCTTGTGCGATGTATAGAGCTAATCCAAGTCCTGATCGGAACATCCGTTGATCTTGCTGCATTCCTTTGGCTTGGTAGGCGCTTGAGTAGTCGCCATCGTTCAGCTCTCAACAATGGGGTGTCAACTTGATCACGATGAGCTAAATTTCTCACCCAGCTTGGGAGATCAGATCATCACCATCAATTCACGTTGCTTCACTACTGAAAGAAAAGCATCCTTGATGTTTGCAACATACAAGGACAAACCAAGGATGTTTCCACAAGTTGGGCAAAACTGATTTTCATCTGTGTTGCCTGTCCCACACTCTCGTACCACAATCCGGCATCTCCTTTTCCACATGCATCTGAATCTCCAGTCGGAAAGACATGTACAGTAGTGCGCAGCAAGAACGCCTCTTCATTTGTTGCTGCTCCACCGGCTGCTGCCAGAACTTCAGAATGTTGTACCCGACTGATCTCCTCTAAAGTTGCTTTCTGGTCCAACTGGCTCAGCTGCTCCTCTTCACGGAATGGCAGGTCACAGGTCCATCACGTTCAGCATGGTCACCACTGGTCTTCGCGGTCCTGTCCATCTCCACTTCCAATTCTGGATGATGCTCAGGATCGAACGTCCATGCTTCCAGCCGGTCAATCTGCTCGTCAACGTGCATGACCTCATCATGATTGTCCTCCACCATGTTTTTGTTTCCTGCCCAAGTCGGTGAATGCAGCTCTTGCCTCTTAGGTCTCTCAGCAGTTTCCTCACTATGTTCGTAGTGTTTTGGTTGTTGTTCCTCCTTGCTTTCAACGTCTGTTTCTTGTCTTCCTTGGAAGTGCTAACGCTCATCGGATCACCATCTGCGCTTCTGGATGTGTCACCGCCTGTTCGTGCTGCCTTCGGAATATGTTCTTCTCTCTCTTCATCATTTGCTGCCCTGCCTGCAATGCTTGGTTCATACTCATGCTCCTCTTCGCTGTCAGGATGGGCCTGATGGTATTCCATCACTATTTTCGCATACTTTCGTTTCTTATATAGCTTCTTTGAAAGGAAAATAATCGGGTGAAGGAAATTCACGAAGCTTTACCTTCATGGTTCCGTGGGTTGCTACTTTCCTCATAGAATCGGGTAGAATGTCCCAACCAAAAGTTCCTTGTCGAACTCCTTCGCACAAAAAATTGAACTGCCCTTGTCCTCACCAAGCGAGAACCTTCAAATGCGACAATGTCTCGATCAACTCCAAATTGTTCCTAACCAAATCAAAGCCATCGTCTCTCATATTTGGACTTGAGTTCATCTACCCCTCACTCTGGGTACCTTGCTTTTCCCAGGTTCTTGAAACATAACTTAGTTATTGCCAGCATGTGACGTAAAAACCTGTCTTTTGACCATAACCTTCATTTTGACCTGAACAAGGTGTGATTGTCCACTTGGATGAGAGAATGCCACCAATTCCAAACATGAACCACTGCCACACTGCCACCAGTGATTCAAGCGGATCAAGTGGTTCAAATCAGTGGGCAAATTGAGCATTTGCCTGGTATCACACAGCAAATCACAAATGAACAGGAGTTCAAACATGTTCAATCAAAAACATGTCCATGCGCCACCAAACTTAAGAGGGTTGCAAGTATTCTCAAGTAGACTCTCTGGCCTGAGAATGCCTGAGACATTCCCACTTCAGCCGGGCTCTCATTTTGTGCCACCGCTTTGGTTTGCCAGCATTCTTTGCTAGCACTCAGAGGCACGCCTTGACTCCTGGCAAGAGCGCTTCTTTGGAGACATTTAGCAGGCTCAAACCCTTGGATCGAGAACAGGTCTCTTTCTGCCCATGCCCAGAAAGCCCCGGGATTCTTTGAACACCCTGGCCCAGCTTTGGGATAGTGCCAAGGATCTACGTGAAGTGGTCCGAAGTGAAAAGAAACTCTTGTTATGTGATGGCCCGGTTTTTCACGCCACTGTCAAGTCTTGCTCTCAAAACTGGGAACCCATCTACGCAGCACTTCATCTGACAAAAGAGCGACTCGTCCTGCAGTAGTATAAACAACTGCTCAGCTTTAGTGTCTTGTGCAAACTGTCTTGGAATATATGTGCGTTGCCCTCATCAGCCCTGCATATAAGGACACTTACTTTGCCAGAGGTCACCCCTTTGATGGCTCAGATTGCCAACTTCTACCGTATGAATGGTTTGCAGCCTGCTGATGACCAAGTCTACCGGGAGGCTTGGGGATTAAAGGCCGCCTGTGGGCTGGTGAAGAGGAAAGGTCGAAGACATGAACTATCAAAGGAAGCATGGATGCACAAAAGCATGAGCATCCATGAAGCCTTACCCACATGATCTCTTTTTGTTGGGTGCGCAGTAGGGTTGGTGCTCGGCCCAAGGACCCGAATTTCCACAAGCTCTTATTGGTGTACTTTCCTGAGCTGGAGGCTGGATCACTGTAATGCAGTGCTGTTCTTAACAAGTTGCCCTGCAAACCCACAGGGGACAATCTCCAACCTGGATCTTAGTGAGCCGGCTGAAGCGGAGGAAAAGGAGGAGGAGTCCCAGGGATACCACGACCGCTTCTCTATTGGTCTACTTGTTGTTTTTTATTGGTCTATATTGGTCTCACTATCTAATGTTTATGTCCGGCTTGTTCATCACAGTTTCGGTGCCGAAGGAGCCTCACGACGAGGACCTGGCCTTGGACCACGAAGAGGACACAGGAGATAGCGTGGACTCTGGACACGGTGCAGAGTTGGAAAACCTTCACCAGGAGATTGCTGAACTCGAGGATCGGGTAAATGCAGTTGAATCAGAAGAGATTGCAGATGCCTGCCACCCAGGGATTGAAAATCAGCTGGGCTTAGATTCCGAAACATCTTCCGCCGTGCCTGCCAGTGCTTCAGGGTCTGTGAAGCCTCTGGAGGAACATCATCCTGAAGTTCCAAGTGGCGCTGTGGAAGGCTGCACTTTGCGCAAGGCTACGCCTCTCAATTCCTCGCTACAAATCGAGGAGATTGAGTCTGATGATGATATTGGCCCAGGAGGCCAGCCACACAGTGGTCTTGTTTTATGCGTGGCTGCCACGCCAAGTTTGCAACCTGAACTTGACAGGTCCGGAGCTCAACGACGTAGACACTGAGATTGCCTGGATCAAAGCAGAACTCCAGAGGCAGGAAATGGAGTCAGTTGTCATGGCAGCCCAATGGGTTCGGCCTGCCAGGCGAGCTCAGAACCTGCCCTCGAGCCACGCTGCTTTGGGAGGCGGGGTGTTTGAATTTGACGAATGCCAACAACTTTAGCTGTGAAGTCACACCAGCCATTGCTTGCTGATCAGGCATGATGGTCGTCGATGATTCTTTGCCTTTCCTTGGGAACATTGACGCCGTGGAGACACAGCCACTTGCGGTGGAGCCTGCGCCGTCCCCCCCAAAGCAACTGCGGATGGAGGTTGGAGTGGGCGCCGACCAGGCTGACGCCAGTGCTGAAGCCAAAACGCTTCCCAAGGCTACCAATGAGCCTGCCTTGAAAGGGTCAGCTTCCGGTTTGGGCGGTCCAAGCAAGCCTTTAGATGAACCCACCACAGTTGCATGACACGGACAAAAGATTTTTTTGGTATCGCTTTGTGGATCTGAACTTAAGTCCCGCCTTGTTCATGATTTCTGCACATCACCCATGACCCTTCCTTCCCAGTTCAGCTATCTAAGGTTCTCAGCCGCCGAGACCAATTGAAGACGCGCGCTACTGCCCAAACCAAAAACAAGAAAAACAAAACAGCTGATGATGCTGACCCAACTGCTGGGCCAGATCGTTCCAAGAAGCAAAAGCGTAAGAGACACGCAACTTCCAAGAAGCCCCGTGGACAGAGCACCAAGAAGCCCCGTGGCCGAAGCACCAAGAAGGCTCGTGGCCGGAGCACCAAGCGTGCAGCCTCAAACTCTTCAAAACCTTCCGGGAAGGTGAGAGAGAGTGAAGTGGAGGTTCGTGAGAGTAAAGAGCAAGTTGCCGGTTCCAACGAGGGAACCAGTCGCAAACGCCAGAACAAGAGCAGTAAGCAGAGTGAGACAAAGAGTGGCAGAAACAAGACACCCAAGACAAAAGCAGCAGCAAAGGCTAAGGCTAAGGCAACAGCCAAGGAGAAACCGAAAGCCAGCAAACCCACTGGGCGGGGACGGAGCAAGAAAGACCAAAGTGATCAGGTAGAAAACAATTCGAGCAAACGTGCTCGGAAGTCTTCGAAGAAGTCAGGGAGTGAAGCCGCACCTCCCACCAGTACTGCCACCGCTCCTCCCACCCCGGCTCCTCGAGAACCAGCAGCTGAGGTACTCGAGAATGATTTGCCTCATGATGCCAAGAGCAAGCGGGGACCCAGGGGTAGGAAGGTTGCAACTCCCCAACAGCGACCTCCTCAACCCACTGTTGAAAGTGGAGTGATTCCGGAACTTCTCAGATCTTTCAAAAATGAGCTTTCTCACCACTGGAAGATGGGCAAGACCAATTTGAAGAGGGAAGACTTCCCCCCAAGATCTTATGAGAGATCGGGAATCAATGGGTACTATACACGGGCACGGCCAGCAGTTGGGTTGAGGGTCAAGGGCGCAACTTGGCGGACAAACAGGGAGTATGCCAACTTTTCCTTCTCATTGAAAGACACATGCAACATTGGTTTGGCAATGGCCTGCGCTGTCGCCACAGCTACTTAACCCTAATTGGGAGGGCAGGGTTTCGTAAGAATGTCCACGGTGGATTTGGACTATGATGGGTGTTCAACAATCAATGCAATCTCTTTTTCTGGCATCTTCCCACAAAAGATCATACGCGCGTGCTTTTATTGGGCAAGGACCAAGCTTCACCCTCAGCAAAAATTGTTTAAGAGATCCCCCGACCAACTGGAGTTGTTTGTGTGTTCTGGAGGTCTGGTGTCTGGAACTCTGAGCCCTCGTTTCTTTTACCTCGATCTGGGAAGGTGTTTGGGTCCCGACCCCTCCACAAACAATGGGGGACGCTGAGGCTTCGCACGTTGATGGCCTTGAGGATCCTGTCG